CACACACCTGGATTCTTCGCCCGGCTTCCAGCACTTCCACGGGCAGGTCCCAGGTCTGACCGGTGTTCGGTTTCCAGGTCGGTTTCGCCCCCAACCAAAGGTCAGAGGCTTTGCGGTTCGGTTCAACTCCAGTGACCACCTGAGTGTTGACCCAATGATTTGCCAAGGATGTGGGCCACCTGAAGAATTGGGAAAGCTCTGCTTCGGTGATCCCCTCCGGGGAAGCTGGCTTCATTGTTGCCGCCCCTCGGTGGAGGTTTTCGGTGTTCACCGAGTGGTGGGAGGTTTTGGGAGACCGCAAAAAGGTTCAATCAGCTCAACCTGCTAGCGATGGCCTCCACCCTACTAGCGATGGCCTCCAACCTACCTCCACCCTTCTAGCGATGGCCTCTAACCTAAGAGCGATGGCCTCCAACCCTTGCCCGTAGGCGTAAAGCCTGTGAAAGAAATGGTCAAGCCATGTCAATCCCAACTTCTGAAGGATTCTGGAAGCGCGTTGCTGTTTGCCCAGACTGTGTGCTCACGAAATTCTAATTTGTCCTGTATATAATATACTGTAATATACAGTACAAACACAGTATTTATGTAGATCCTGGAGCCACCGGAGGATCTTGTGTGTCAGTAGATTTTGGGGTGATTAGATTTGATATGAATTGATCGTTGGAAGCACTTTCAGTCATCCAAGATCTCCTCTTGATAGACTCTTCAAGAGGTTTGATTTCTGGACAGATGAAAAAGACGATGCTTCTGATGCTCCATGAGTTTGCCGATGAGATCACTGTTGGTCACAACATGTCCAGACACAACACACTTTAATCATTCATGTTTGGCGGTCTACTCGTAGGTGGTCCTGGTGGTGGTTCATGAGAGTGCCATTTGATCAGAGCTCTCTTGCTTCGCACAATCGCGGCTTCTCTTGCGCGACCCAGATCTTTTCGATTGGCTGCATGACGACCTCTTTCCCACCGGTGAGCAGCTGCTGGGCTGAAAAAGTGGTAGAGGGAGTTGAGAGAATACAGTCATCCCAAAGGCATTCAGAGACGACCATGCATTCCATGTGACCTGTCATGTCAGTGATGCTCATTTTGGGTTTCCCGACTTGCTTTGGCTCAAGACTGAAGGAAAACGGTGCGTGTCGTTTCGTCGCGCAGTTGTCTTGTTTAGGGGGTTTGGAAGCTGTGCCCTCTAAACAACTGGTTAACAGCCTCAAAGTGCATCTTTCCATATAGGGTTTGTTCCTGCCTTGAGCCAGCTCGGACAATTCCAACCTCGCCTAACTCCCTTTTGTGCCAGAGCATATATCGTGTTGATTGCCCGTGCCAATTGGTGTTAGTGACCTTGCATCTTGTCTCAGGCCAAAACCTTTGTGCGAGCTGCATCTCAGACCGCTGTTGTCAAGGACAGAGGGTCTTCGTGTCTTCAGGGCCGGGTGTTTTGCATACGGTGCAACTCCGGTACCAAAGAGGATAGTATCCGACCTCCATAATCACAAAGGCCTCAAATAGGAACCAAGTTTCCATCCTTTTTTAGAGGATTCTCGGCTCCACCTGTGATACCGTTTCCATCTAAGTAAGAGTCTCAGTCAGGCATTTTGCCCGATCCTCATCTTTCTTGCAAAGCAATTGAGTGGAGAGATCCTGAGAACAAAATTGAAACTCGTGACCAACTGCACCTTTGGGATCAAGAGTGTTTGCAACACTAGTTGTCATTTGCTCGCCGCACCTCGTGCATGCGTCGGGTGCCTCCGCCTCCTCCTCCTCCGAGACAAAGGTCGAGGAGCCCTCTTGAGAGAAGACAGAGGGCAGTGCTTGAAGCTCATCGTCGCAATCGAGCTTCCAACAGGGGTGGGAGAGCAGCGCGTCGTCGTACAAGGGCGATGCATCGACAGTTGCTTGAAATTCTCTTGGAACGTG